ATTTATCTTCCAATAAGTCAATGACGGCGAGCACACGCCAAATAAAACAAAATAATGGAGGCCATACAATGTCCTCAGCCAATTAAAAACGCCACCACAGTCTCTGGACATCAATGCCATAGAACACCTATGGTACCTGTTGGATTTAGAAGTAAGAAAAATAAAATGTCTATAAAAAATGTTTAAAAGAAACTTTGTCAGAGGAATAGCGAAAAATTGGAAAGGACATAACTCAAAATTTTGTTTTGTCCATATCAAGATTTCACGATGTCACAGATGACAATGGTATGATGAAAAAATATTAATAAATATCCAGTTCGTGTAATAAACCTCAAAAGTATGTCAATACTTTTTTGACCGTGTCGAAGTGATTTTTCGTTTACTGAACTTTTTAATTTAGTAAATTTAATCATTCTTTTACACCAATTATGTATTTTCGTAAATCTTTTATTAATATTAAATTTTATTTTTATTAAATAAAAATGTTTAGGAAATCAATTTCGGAATCTTTTAAGATGAAACCTGAAAAAATTGTGAGCCAATATTCCTTTGACCCACTGTATCTGCAACTGTGATACAATGCATCAACCAAATTGTATTGTTTTTTTACATATGATTTTGGTAATCGTTTCAAAATTTATAATCTCTTTATTGTTTAAACTACAATATTTTGTTAATTAAGTATTTGGTACTTCATTAACAAATTCTATTCTTTGTACTTCTTTACAAATTAACAATCTACTATTATTCATAGCAAACGAAGGAAACAAAATTATGCTTGTAGGTTATACACGATTTTCATTTTTTCTCGATGACTTACCGGGGAGTTTATGGAACTTGTACCTTACCAACTTCACCAAAGAAAATATTTTACTAAATGACGCACTACACCCATGTATTTATACGAATGTGCACGGGCAGATCTACGGGAGGCGGAGAGGGAGTCTTTCCTGCTGAAGTCCCCCCCCAAAATGGTAAAATATAACCATGTTTTATGGAAAAAAAAATTAAAAAATAATCTCTTAAAGTATTATTATCCGTGTAATTACATTTAAAAGAACTTAAGCAATCACTTAAACACCATTTCATATATATAGTTAGTTTCCTTCTTTTTTTCCAAAGTAATTATCGTCATTTTTATGAAAAAAAAACTGGTGAAGCCTCTCCAAAAGTAAATAGTGGATCCGCTAGTGCGAATGTGTATGTATATATATACATACATACACACACACACACACACACACACACACACACACACACACACACACACACACACACACACACACACACACACACACACACACACACACACACACACACACACACGCACGCACGCACGCACGCACGCACGCACGCACACACACACACACACACACAAACACACACACACACACACACACACACACACATATATATATTATAGATTCAATGTATAGTCGAAAGTACTATGTTTAAAGGTGGTGATAGCAGACCTTAAGAGCTAGAAAAAAGTTTATGTAAATAAAGATTAAATTTTCTTCAAAAGTAGTAAATTCATGTTTTGGGTTTTTTAAAAGTAAGTAACATTTTTTGATGAGTAGGAAGTGAACATTTAAAAAATATTTATCTATATAAATAAAATAAAGATTTTGTCTGTACATTGAATAGAATCAACCCGTTTCATGACATCTTTCTGTTTCATACATTACAGACACCAAAACCACTTTTAAAAAACTATTTGTGTGTCTGTATGTCGGCATTGATCAACGAAATTTTGTCAGGGGTAAGCTCAGCAACGGCTAATGATAGACTTTTGAAATTTCGATATAATATTTAGGCTTGCTTGACTTAAAACTTTAAATAAATACAAAATGTTGAGGAAAACCAAAGTTATGAACTCTTCAGTAATTTGTCTAGAGATTCCGGTTAGACAGTTACTTACTTCAATTCTCATCCCATCCTACTCTTTTGAGCCACATTTAAAAGTTGTACTATTTAACTGATGGAAAAATTACCACACCTCAACGGGAAAAATCCGAAATGCCGAACATCTGTAACGCATTGTCACTAAAACACGGATAAACCCACATTTTTTAACTTTTTCCAATCTTCCCGTAGAAGGTGTCATTCGATTCAACTTCTTGAGCCTAACAAATGTTGGCGTTTACATTTTTAGGATTAACCAAATGGATTAGCTGGAAATCAGGAAAAAAAAAGTCCCAAACATTTTACCTCGCCTGCAACAATATTCAGATCAAGTTCTAATTTTACACGGATGTAGGTGACTCAATGTAAAATGTAATTTTGGTTATTTTGCGAGCGAAAAAGTCAACACAGTTTAAAAAAGTGGAGAAACTACAACTCTTTTTGATTATTTCAATCGACTCCACAATCTCCTCAAAAATTTAATGGATCGGTGGTGATCGGTTTATGAAATTAAATTAGGATCTCCCTCCCCATAATACAAACTCCATCTAAAAAAAACGTTCTCAGATTCCAAACTATACACCTGTCAACTACGGGTACATCAGCTAGGCTTAAATAATCAAGAATTAAATCCTTTCATTCTTTTTCTCTGTTTTTAACTCTTTATTATATTATACATTGTCTGTATATCTTGATAGACTTTACAATATCTCAATTTTCTATCTAACTACTCCATTCTCAATGTTTTAATTTTACTATTTATTTTCATTTCTTATATAACTTTATATTTCTTTTTTATGTTTTACATTTTATTCTAAGATTCCCATTGTAACACTTTTGTCACCCCGTTTTGATTATGCCTACTTCATCATTCCACACTATGAAACAGTTTTTATTATTTATCTCTTAGTTCTTAGTCATTTTTCTAATAATTTCATTTTATTTAATATTTATCTATTTTATTTTTCTAATAATTTTTTTTATATTATTTTTTTATTTTTTATTATCTTTTTTACCATCATTACTTATGTTTCTCATACCTTGTTATCTGGTTATTTTCTTAGCCCTGATGAAGGCCTGAACTTCAGGTCGAAACGACGTTTCGGCATATGTAAAAAATAAATATTATAATTTATTTTTGCCTTCCTTTTTTGACTGAACACCCCAACTATTCTTCTCTTCATTATCCACGACAGTCAACCAATTACCAATTATTAAGAATTAAATCACTGTAAACTAGTCAAAATTTACTCCCTATAAAAGTGGAGTTTGTCACTGTTAAACAATTTAAAGATAACTTTTGAATGAATTTTCAACGGACCTTTCAGCTATACTATTGATACGCCACTTTAAAAAAAAACATTTCCCTTGTTTAATTAGCTTTAATTCTACATTAATTAAGTTGAGATTTATAAAATAAGTTGAGATTCATCTCAAGTTGTGCAAAAAATGTGGTTTTTGATATACTATCACCTAAAAGTACCCGAGTTTTCAAGAAAATAAGTACAATTAATTATTGCAAAGTTTTAATTGATTTTTTCGTTTCACCTGGGGTGTATTATAACAAACATAAGCGCATAAATATACATTTCATATACATAAAAATAGAGATTTTCGGATATTTATCATCTAAAGTAATAATATAACTGTTTATTAATATCTCTATTATAGAAACTGATCCGTATTTATAAGTGACTAACTAAATGTTTCTAATCCAAATATTTAAATTTTCATGAAAATAATTCCTGCAATCAGCTAGTCCGTTTATTTAAACGTAAATATAGTACTTCAACTTCAACTTAATTAATGTGAAATTAAAGTTCATTAGGTAATTTTAGACTGTTTTTTTGTTCTTATGATTTCAGGATTAAAATCCTGATATCCTAATAAATTACCCTTGACAGTCTCTTTTTTTTATTTAAAACTTTATTCATAGAGAAGCTTTGGGTGTCCATGCGCCATATTCATATCTATAATTATAATAATCCAATAAGTATAGATTATTAGTTAATTAATAACATTAGCAATATATGTATTACATAATTTTTTATTACATTATTAGTTTTTCTATTTAAAAACATAAATGATAAGAACAGTGTTCTTGTTCTTCGTCTCATGTTAGCTTTATCCGAAATAATTAATAAACAAATAACAATAATAATTAATTAATTAATAAACTGTTAATTTATGCTAATTGGAGTATTATAATTATAGAGATGAATATGGTGCATGGACACCGAAAGCCTCTCTACAAATAAAATTTTAAACAAAAAAAAAGAGACTGTCATTGATAATAAAATCCTGAACTCAATTAAAGTTTATTAAACAAGGAAGTTTATCTAAAAGTGGGGTATCTATAGTAAGGATAGGTATGATTATTCTAGTTCCATTTATTGTTAATCTCTGAAAAGAAAAAAAAACAGGAGTCAACTTGATAGGGATCTATTATCAATTAATAATAACGCTTGTCTCCCAGGTACTTAAGACAGACATTAAACCGCTTCTCAAATCCTTAATTTGATAAATAATTAATTACAAACAGGAGTCCGGATGATATTAACGTTAATTGTAAACTAATGTAATTTATACTCCCAAGCGCTTTCTTAAAGTGGCTTATGAATCACACACAGTGCCAGATGATAATTAAATAGCTAAATGAGAATCAATCCAATAAACATTTTTGATGCTATAGTCTTTGCGCAAAACGCTTTATATATTATTTAGAAGATCACCTTTCATTGAGTATTTCATTACGTTTTTTTCGATAACGACACAATCTATATCATCCATTGTAACATACAGGATTTTACACTACGCCGTGAAGAAGATAGAAAACGTCGTAGATTTTATTTTGTGAGATCAGAATATGAGCCAGTACAAGATTGACCAGAAAATCTCAAAACTCCTTTTCTTAAAGAATTGTTCTTAGATGGTTTGAGATTGGCTACCGATTTATACGATTAAAGAAAATTTAATGTAATATCACATCAATAAAAGAGCAGTTTAGTTGTATAAATGGTAATATTTGAAATTCTCTTTTATTTTCTCCTTATAATTAATTTCATAGTAAAAAATGTTTATATATAAATACCTCATCAAGATCTGATGATGTCTGAAATTTTTCCTTAAGCACATATTGTAGCAGTATTTAAATTGTAGTTGATCGTATGATTTATCCCCTGATAACTTATATTTAGATCCAAATAGACTGGATAGCAAGATTTCGGTTCGTTCTTCTATGTGTTGTAACGAATCATACAAGATTTCCATCTGCATCCAGAGGTTTTGCGACATCACTATATAGGCCAAGCCACCTACCCCTATGGAACCTCCTGTTAAAGTGGCAACAACCAGTTGTAGTATGACTGAAGCGTAGTAACCAAAGCCTTGCTCGTTCTGGTAAGGGTAAACCATATAAGGAAAGGGCAAATGTTGGTTGAAATCGCTGGAGATCTTGCTGAAGTCGAAGGTTCCGTACTTATCCACTTGAGGTGTCAGCACCATGATCGCTACGACGGCCAATCCAACCAGTATTGGTATCATAACCAGAAAACGCCGCTCCTTCCGTATTTCTTGCTTTAGCCTCTCTTTTATGCCTTCATAGTTCTCGGAGTAGTCGAAGAAGTTTTCCGCCATTGCTCGATGAAACAAGGCTATGCTGTTGTGTTTCGTTTGTATGAATACTATGAGAATGATAACGAGCTGTATGAGGAGGCAGAAGTGCACGGCTTCTCCGAACGTTACGAGGCTGACTTCCATCAATTGTAAAGTAGCCAATCCGATGGTGATGTAGTGAAATACGAGGATGCAAAGGTATATCAGGAGCTGCACAAAAGTAAAAAGACGATGGCTCCTATCCAGCCTCGTGTACATGCCAGAAAGTATGATAAGGTGGAGGTATTGTGCTGAGACGTAATTATCTACTTCCTCGTTGCTCTCTGCGCTCATGGCATCCATCTTATGCGTAATCCAGTCAAATAGCCACATAATATTGATATCGAAGATCAGCTTTACACGGACTGGTCGGTGTTGTAGTCGCTTCCTCACAAAATGAAAAAAAAAAACCTTCCATCACCATATGTAGTGTTCAAATAGAATGATAAAAAATGTATTACTTACGTCCATGTTTGCTTATCCTTCATTGTATATTAACGTTGTCCCTAACTTCAGTGTACAGGAGTTGGTGACTTTTAAATATTAATGTGTCCGGAATTTAGATTTCATTCTTTCTTTGGGGTAATATAAATATATAAAAATAACACATTATAGTGCACACGTTCTGACTCCCGAGAAAATTAGTTTAATTAATTAATAATACAAAGAAAAATATCTGCAGTTTACATATAATAATTTATTAAATAATGGTTTATTTTCAAATAGTTATAAGGTTTTTCAGTAAAATTGATAATTTTTTTGATCAATTTTATATATTTTTAATCAATTTCATAGTCTTAATTTAATGAGGTATCGTTATCAAGAGCTCGTGTGGAATGTGGAGCAAAGTGTGGAAAATTACTTTGTTTCTTCGGCAATATTTAAATTACAATATATAATTATTTGCAAATTAAAATTACGCACGGTCTATAATTAAATTAGAAAACATTGGCCATGATATGACTTGTAATAAATCAAGTGTTTGGTGGTTTTGGACTTCCGAGGTATATACCAACCATGGCCGTCGGCTTAAGTGAAAGCAATGAACCAGTCCATTCCACCACATTCGCTTTCTACTTAACCACCGGTTATCAAATGTAATAGTGGTCTAAAAGCTGCTGTGAAAAAAAAATCTATTCAAAGTCACCTGATCCTCTCGGGAGTCCAAATAAAGGAATATTCATGCAGCCTTAACACTCTTTCTGATTTAAGAAATACGCAGATAAAACAAGAATAAGAGGTAACGATAATGGATAGTAATGATAATTTCTATACTATTTCCATTAAATTTATATTATTAACAGCATAACATTTTTCGCAATTATCATTAATGAGTGTAATGCCATATTAGGCATGATGATTATTTTTTTCTCTCAAACTGCTATAATAAGATAAATGAAAGTACCTAGTAATTTTTCCTGAAATAATAATTCTAAAATCATATAAAGTTATATGTTTGAGCTACAGATCTTTCGGTAAGAATACTATTAAAACTATAGATAGTAAACCTAGAAAAAACACACTCGTATCTCAAATATCCCAAAAAATTTAACCTTCATAAATTCTTTTTACCCTTTCCGGAACAATTGGTAAAATAATCTGAAATTTCGCACGTCAGGTTTTGATAGGGTGAAGTGGGGAAGGATAGAAAACTTATTTTTTTGGTACGTTATGTTAAAAAAAAAATATTATATTCAGAATTGCACCAAAGTTTTGTAAGTTTCGTATTTCAAGATGAGTATAATCCGAAAATTCAATAAAAATAAATTCGTTCGTTCGACTTCCACCACTTTTTTCCGAAACTACTGGGCCAATTGTTTTGAAATTTGGTAAGAAAGTCAGATGCCACCCGGATATTATCCTCCAAATCATAATTATGATTTTTAGAGATATTGAAATCACATAATAATATATAAAAAAAAATCGAAATCGGACAACTTACTGTAGAAATATAGTATTTTCAATTTTATTTTTATATTATACAATTTTAATTTTATAACAGGATTAGCTCATTTATAAGGAAGCATCCGAAATTGTTTTTTGAAAAAACATTCAATTTTTTAAATATTTGTTTGATATAAAGTGGATAATAAATAAGAAAGAAGAAGGCAATTTTGCATGTAATTTTTCGGAAAAATGCAAACTACTTTGGTTAAATGCCATCACTCAGTGTAACTGTGACATGCTACATATATTTGATATATAACTATTTTTCAGTGAAATTCATAATTTTTTGAACCACTTTTATAATTTTTTCAATCAATTTCATAATTTTTTCAACCGATTTCGTAATTTTTCAAACAAATTCATATTTTTTTCAAACAAATTCATAATTTTTTCAAATAATTTCATATACTTAATTTAATGAGGTATCGTTATGGAGAACTCGTGCGGAATTCGAAGAGAATTCAAGAATTCCCTCTATTTATTTAAGTTAAATCCGGATTCATCAATGAAGACTATGAGAGAGCGATTTTGAGGTATCCACATTTCAAAATCTAGACCATATTTTATATTGTTTTCTTTGCTCAATGGCTAACTCTAAGCTCATGTGGTCAAGTTCTTTTGAAGCGTGTTTAAACTTAATTTTTAACTAAACTAGTCCTCAATGTATTATGAAGATTGAAACCGGATTCTATTAACGCTGCCTGTTTCACATGCCTAACTAATCAAAAAAATCAACAAATCACCTTAAATTGTTGACTAGTAAGAGGTGTTAGTTGTTGCGAATTTCTCAATCCTTTAGGCTGAATAAAATGGTTGTGGCGAAAAGTACGCTTTAAATTTTTTTTTTTTTTTAATGTTGAACGAATTCCTTTTGGAAAATTACTAACAAATACTAAAACTTCACCAGATTTCCCAACCCTTTCGGCGAGATGACATCTCCAAGTCAAGACAAGTCAATCCTAAAAACTATATGGACATACGGACTTGAACTATGGGGAACAGCAAAATTTTCTAGCATCAAATACATCCAATCCTTTCAATCTAAAGTCGTTCGAACAATAGTTGATGCTCCATTCTATAATTAACGAAACCCCACTTTATAATTAATAAATTACATTCTGTAACCAATAAAGCCTTTCACAATGACTTTAATATCCCATTTGTTCTATACCTTGCCACAGAAAAATTCTCCAAATTTCACCAAAACCTTACTTATCATGCAAATCTTGCACAATCCCTATACAGTGGCAGTGGCCCAGAGACTTTTTGTGAATAAGTGTATATTGGAGTTTTGGCAATGGCCAGATTCTTCACTCAAGCCATGTATGTGTGATTATCCCGAATAACTCAAACAGTTTACACTTTTTAGGTATTGTATATGGTTTTTTAAAAGTTTAAGAAATTTCCTGAAAAATAAAACAAAAATCGTTAAAATCGGACAATTATCAGCAAAGATATGGTCTTCGGTTTTTTTTTTTTTTTTTTTTATATGATCTACTCCAAATGTTATATCCTTTGTTTGGTTTTTAAATTTTGAGTGTGCTACTGAAGTAATGCTAGCTATTTTTTTGTAGCATATAACTAATGATTAAAAAAAAGAGTTTAGTCCAATAATTGGAATCACCTTTTATTTATTTTTCTTCGTTACGATGAAGGTGATGTTACTTTAGATGTATTATTGTTTAGGAATAATAAACCATTGTGAAATAATTTGCAGCGTTTTTTTATTTTTACCTTTTTTTATTAATATTTATTTTACCAATCATCCAAACAGTATAAAAGTAGTGTTATTTAGTTGATCGGGTGCTGATGACTTGGATGTTTTGCACTTAGACATTGAAACAAACAAACAAACAATAATTAATAAGCTACCAAAATAAAAATATTCTGTATTACCTAGGTATTTATATGTGACGACATTTTTATTAAGTTTTTTAAATTACGGGCCACTTTACAGAAGGTTTAAATACCATGTAATGAATGTATCTATAATGAATGTAAAATGTATATTTTAAATTTGTTAGTTTTATCTTTAAAAATTAGCACACTTTTATTATATTACTTTTTTTTAAATACATTAACTGATACCGAGTCTTCTTATTATTCTTTTATCAATATTCTTGATAGTGCTTATTTCTTTTGAAACAACTTGCCTATTCCTAATAGAAAATTTCAAGAATCTTGAATACTAAGCTCCCAACTTAAAAATATGTAGGAAGAGATAAATGAAGTATTGTTTAAGGAAACCAGTTGATCTCTATCTCAATTTATGAAGGGAAGGTCATGGGCGCAGAAGTGTTGAGAAAAAATGTTGAGCGAGTCTATTCAACAATGAATGCCCATGGTTCGCAGGTTACGTGGGATACTTGAAAGTTGATAAAAAGAGAAAGAAAACAAAAATAAATTAGAGTTGTTTAACAGTAAGTCCTAACTTCTAGCCTGAACGGTTCTTGCATTAATTTTCTTGACGACTTGTCTTCCACGAATCGTCAAAATCGAATAGAAATATTTTCGCGAATAGAAGTATTTCTTTTGGCGATTATATGTTATTCTGCAGGAAATGTATCTAATTGTAAGAAAAGATTTCAGCGCTGTACTTCCAGCTGTATACTCGCACTCACCTACCAAGAGTAATTTCAATATTCGAAATCCTAAGATTTAAAGACATCTTTTAGTCACCAAATAGAAGGTTCTTAAACCCACGTTGAATCAGTTGGTAATAAATGTATTCGTAGAATTTTAAGTTATTCAGATAATTTCGCTAAAATTAAGTCACGAAGATTTTTATAATCAAAAGCAGTGCCGGTCTTAGACATTCGGCGCCCCCGGGCAATGACGTCAGCTCCTCCCGTAAAATAATTAAATTTATTTTTTTTAAGCTGTTTTATATTATGTAGTATTTGAATTTTATTTCATTCAACATTTCTCTAATACAGTTGCTTTACTGATAGGCTAAAATTAATTATTTTAATAATTTCTGTATTTTTTTTTATTTCTAACGAGTGGCGAGGGCCCCTAATGATTGACCGGCACCCCGGGGCAATTTCCCCGGTTGTAACATCATAAGATCATCAAATTACGCATTATTGTTCTCATGTTTTACTACAATATACAGTGATTGAATCAATAACAGTTGATTGCTAATGCTTGGTTTGTGAATTGTAATTAATAGAAGTATTTATTATTACTTAATCAATTGATCACTTGAATGAATGGATATCTTTTGAAGGAATCCTTACTGAATATTGTATTTAACTAGGTGCGAAAAATTCGCAGACAATTTTGTTAAGTGATGAAATAGCAAAAAAATATCGAAATAAGTAGTTCCTATGTAGTATGTAAGGAAGGAATTAATA